GATACCAATTGATAAGATTATAATGGTTTTATATGTCTGAATTACTTTTCTTTGCGACGCGAAGGCTCTGAAGTAGTCGATTTCTTTCCGCCGTCAAAAGGCTGAAATCCGCAAAAATCAATTTTCTCGTTTTTCTCGTAAAATAAGCGATATTTTTAAAAACAAATTACATAGTGGTTCTAGTTAGAATAAGGCCTACCTAAGGTTAGAATATGAGCGAAATCGATTTTTCGACCGTTGCCACAAAATGTTCGATTGTTGCTGACATCCCCTCTTAAGCCTCGAAGAGAGGGCGTGCTTGTAATTTGGTAAATGTAAAATGTAAATAGTTAGTTTTTCCCCCTGGTTCCTACAGTATCATCAAGATTTGTCATGTGATCAAACAAATCTCAGGGTTACATTTTTTGGATGCACAACTAATTATTGCTTTCTTTTCTATTGTAATAGGCAGCCAATGGTAATGTTGAAAATGCATTGACATTTCTGACCAACCCAGAGCATATAACGGTAAGAGCTGTTCAAAATATTGAGCTCGATATTTTCATCTGGGGCAAAAAGTTTTCCCATTTCATACCATTTGTCATCTTCTAAAGTACCTTTTTTTGTTTAACGACTTTGCATGAGAAGACACATGAAAATGGAAACAACTGAAGCAAAGAGTCTTATTCTCAAGAGAATGACATGTCATCTTTAATGAGGAAACATTATGACATATGAAGACAAAGAGGTCTTTTTGATTTATCATGTGTTTAATATATGGTTTATTTATTTTTTATAGGATGGAACAAGCCAGAAAGGTAAGAACAATAGACTATCTATTATACAGTAGATATATTTGTCATGATCAAGCAAACCTACCCATTAAAAGTTGTATGGCAATATACTTAAAAAGGTTTGTCCTTTAAATTACAAATTTTGGAGTGAACAATTGACAAGGTTTTGGTTCTTGTATGAGAACCTTGGTTTTTATCAGTGCATTGTAATGTTTCCATAGAGCAGTTTTCGCATGACTGTGAAGAGCTCACGACACGAACACATTCTTGACACGGCTAGGGATACGCCAGACAAATCACATTGCTTGAGAGAATTCACTCTCCATCCAATCAAATACCCAGAACACAGCATAAACACGGTGCGGACACGGTCACACCAAAGTCACGGCACTTTCGGATCAATCACATTGCGTGAGAAAAAAATCAGCCAATTAAAATTCTAGAAATCGTCACGGCGTGGCACTGAGCTTTTCACAGTCATTTGAAAACCGCACTAAACAGCACTTGAAACAAGCAGCGTATGCCTGACTGAATTTATACCTTTCTGAAATATCCAGATAATGTAATGAATCATGATTGCAATTTTTGAATATTTATTCAAATACAGAATGCTATTCTAACATGTTTGTTTATCAAATGAATTTAAAGTGCTACTAYGACGAAAATCGYTCAAACTTGGATTCAGCTGAAACTTCCTAAGAATACTCTTTAAAGGTCCAATAATCACTGTATGAAGTGTTTTCTCGATATTCAGAACGAAAGTATGATATTTTTACGATTATTTTTTGGAGTCTGTGACGACATACACTCAACATCGAACATCGCTCCATACATTTCTTTGTAGTTTATGATCAAAATATCAGTAGTAAAGGGAGAAAGAAATACCCAAACACCCAAAAATATAAATTATAGTCACAAGTAATGTGAAATAAGCACATTAGCCACCCTTTKGGCTTCATAGGAATAAAATAAATKAAGGATTTATATRCAAAGAAATATATGTAGCAGTGTTTGATGTTGAGTGTATGACGTCACAGACTCCAAAAAATAATCGTAAAAATATCATACTTTCGTCCTGAATATCGAAAAAACACTTCATACAGTGATTATTGGACCTTTAAAGAGTATTCTTAGGAAGTTTCAGCTGAATCAAAGTTTGAGCGATTTTCGTCATAGTAGCACTTTAACATGTTTGAGTAATTTTTCAGGGATGCAGACAAGTGTTGTAAAGAACTGTCAAACCAGTAAAGGTAGAGAATGCATCTTGATTCTCTTATAATTGGTTACTGTACCTGTGCAAGACATGTTTATAATACAGGTTTATAATACTTATGATGGGAAATATTTTTATAATCAACAGATGATGTGATAGATTTAACTAAAGATAAGGACGAGAGGGATGAAGACCTGGAGAAGGCTATAGCTCTTAGTTTACAGGAATCTCATTCTTCTGCGCCGCAGGTATGTATGTATGCTGTTCTTCTATTCTTGCGTATATGTATTTTTCAAACTCATTAATAATTCATGAGGAAAACACATCAGAAATCACGACTGTGAAGAGTATATATATATATGTATATACATATATGCAGCCATTTCCAAAAATTATGGCCGCTTCCATACTTCCAATATATTTACAAGTATATCAAAAGCATATCAAAATTTATGGCATATCATCTCTGATATTTTTTTCGAGTGGTCTATCATCAGGGCTTTCTGAAAAAATTATCAGGGATGATATCCCACCGTGTCTGATATATTTTTGATATACTTGTATGTATATTTGAAGCGGCCATATTTTTTGCAAATGGCTGTATATATAAATATATGTATACAGCCATATGCAGAAATTCTGATCTAACCAAGTATATAGTATATAACTATATCGGGTGCATTATGGGTGATGGACTCACAGGATTGAAAGCTAAATAAATACTTGAGCTAAAGCTAAAGATTATATACATATCAGCTACTCCATTTTGTGGCGCGTCCTATCTTCAAGCTCCGCCTACAACAGCTCCAGCAAAAGATGTAACCTTTGCCTTAAAGAAAAATTTCTAATAATCTATCGACCAGAACTCTCATCATTAAATGAACGAAACGAACTTGTATCTTCATGCCGCCACAGAAAGAAAGCGTTACTACGCAACAGCTAAACTATATCCACTAATTAATTATGCATAATTTTTCTATATAAATGATAGTAACGAATATTCTTATCATTAAATCCCCTGAAGAGTGAAGCAATTCACAAAACAGGCTTGTCGGGAAAAAATGTTGTCTTGACTTTTTCTTCTCAAACAAATATTCTGCTCTACTTCTAT